AAGACTACCATGGGGAATGTCCGAGCTGCAAGAATAATTTCGGCCAGAACAAACCTGGACACGCACTAACGCCTGGCAGATGCAAGTTTGCCGAACCCTGGAAGCTGCCCGACAATCGTGGACAGGCAGCGCCGGTTCCTGCCGAACCCGCACCTCGCGAGGCGCCAGCCGCATCACCACTTACGCGGCTAAAAGCACCGAGACCCAGCTCTAGAGTTGGACCAGCAGCGGGCGCAAGCAGTCACGATATTACCGCAGGCAGACATGCTGCTGACTGCTGCAGGGCAACCTGCCTCGAGTGGACCTGGTAGTTCGGGTAGCCATCTCCTACTGCCACGGGTTAGAGTCAGACGTGGCCGACAGCATGGTGGAGAAGCACCTCCCCCGCCACTAGCGGGTAACCCTGCTGCGCGACCACGACTTCCAGACTGGTCACGGTTCGACGTACAAATCAGTCTACACATGTTCGATGCCTTGACCCAAGCGTGGTAGCGCGCGAGTTGCGGAAGCTACACTTGCGCTGGTACCATGCGAAAGAGCCTAAGACGAGACTCATCTTAACTAAGATAGGTCTGGACAGCGTCAGACTCAACCTGATTCAAGGTGTCTGCGACACATGTCGGGAGTGCAGAACTTGGGACAAACCGGAGCATACTGTTATGCCCTCCACTTCGCTGCCTAGTAAATTCAATGAAGAAGTGGCATGTGATCTGATGTTCAACAAACAAGAACACAACATCTTCCATGACACCGATCGTTGGAAACGGTATGCTATTGGAATGGAGGTACCAGACAAGGCAATGACCAGTATCCTGGATGCATATCATCAGTGCTGGATGCAACTTGGACTTGCAAAGGTATTCTACTCCGACGGGGAGGGTGCTCTTAACAACGACACTGCGAAAACAGTCCTTAAGGAAAAGGGCACTGAACTTAGGATACGTGCGCGTGGGCAGCACGCTACGCCGATCGAAGCCAGAAATGACAGATTACGCCATCTACTTCATGTCATGGAAGCTGAACTCAACAGGTTGGACATGCCACTTGTGTTCACGCGGCTACTGCACGAGGCCTTGTTCGCTGCCAGCGCGGTCACCTTCTACAACGAGGTGTCTCCGTACAACGCTCTGTTTGGACGACAGCCAGCAATGATTCCTGACTTACCTGTCTTGGACCACGAACAGCCGACGGAAACGTCGGATCATTCTCGTGAACAGACGATACGCAATGCATGTATTGAAGCTACCACACGGGGCACAGCAGTAGCTAAGACCAGTCGTTACGCACTAAGACAACTGTCACCGGTCAGCAATGAAGGAGACTTGGTCGATTACCATCGCCCCACAACCACGAAGGACGGGGAGGCTGGAATGGCCCATTCCCAGTTGTACAGAACGATCCCGACAGGGGTCAAGTCATCATCCGAGTGGGCAATCGAGATGTTCAAGTACAATGCGGCGATGCACGACACTCACTCTATATTGAGGCACTGATAGCCGAGAAATTGGCTCCCACAACATTGCACTACGGACAGTGTTGACGTTCGTGGCCGGTTTGCCAGCGGGGAGACCTGCTATGACCTTTGGCTATGTGCCGACCAAAAAAGGAACGCTTCAGATGACGAGTGCAAGCCGTCTATCTCCCAAGCTACACCTAGATTTACAGTACTCTGTCAGAATTTTTTCCGCATCGAGAAAGTAGTTTCGGCCTGGTTAGCTAAGAGTCTCCATAAGCTACCTCCGGTTACTTATGCTGACAGCTGCACGTTGGTCCACTATGACAGCGACGTGAATCCAGGATTTCTCTACTTTGAAGCAGAAGGCGCCGCGCTGAACATACATGATACGACTGGATCAGCGCATTCGAGAATCATCCAGTGCCTAAAGTCCACCAAACCTCAAGCAGATTTTGATCAGGACGTGACAGGATTTGAGGAATTGGCGGATGCACCGACTCCGCATGGAACCGCGAGAGAAGCCTCAGAAGCCGAACCACCACATGATGATGGACGGCTTTCTAAGATCTAAGAGATCGGAGGCTAACCCCGAATAGCATGTCATGGAAGCGCGGTATGCAGAACTACAAGACGAAAGGGAATTGCTGGAGGCTACACCACCAGAGGACTTCTTTACAATGCCCTCAGATGGTTCCAGATCAAAGTGCGCTGGTCACGTGTAGCTGATGCACAGCGGGGACACCTGCCTAAGTGGGGGTGCACACGCGACTCCGACACCGAGGAGACGCATCACGCCCACATGTGTTCCATGGGCGAAGACTGTAGCTACGCACTGGACTCAGACGAAATTTGACAATATGTAGAACTCTGCTTCGCGGCAGAAATGTCAAAGGTAGTCCTGTCCGAACAACAACGCATGATACTAGATGCCGACCGCGTGACCACTATGCGAGTACATGTTACCGCCGCTGCAAAGCGAGCTGTGGTCGTCAAGGAAGACGACCTCCTCGCGTAAGCTGACATCATGCGAACCCCGAGAAAGTATCGAAGGCCCTCTACACTGAACTCAAGACATGGTTTGGCAATCTGTGCTTCACAATGCAAGACATATCTAAAGCGTCAAACATCATGTATTCGAGGCACCTGTACAAGTGGAAGGTCGTGAAGAACGAGAAGGGCGAGATGGAACGTACCATCAGGTTACGCCTAGTACTCCGTGTTTTCATGAACCTTGAAGCCTTCGACGTAGAAACCTTTCCGGGAACAGCGCGGCGGTCAAGCCAGGGACTACTCGCTAGCACGGCAGCGCGCAAGAAACATTGGAGCGTTGCTTCCCTCGACATCAACATGGCCCCCCTGAACGGGTTGACTTATCGGGAACTTGCTGGGTCAATTGGTGAAAAGGAACGTGTGGTGTGTTTTACTGCGCCGCCTGGATCGGCCACGGTGCTTCGGACTCTCCCAGGATTCGAACACTACGACGAGTCAAAGCATTGTTCGCAGTGCTTGAAACCAAACGCTGGAACCAAAGGCGCACCGCGAGCTATCTCGCCAAAGCTCAGAAGGACCACGCGAGGTTTTGGTCTCCGACCCACGTCCTGCGGCGAGGATTCCGAGACGAGCAACAACCTGCTCACGGCCAAACATGTTAATGAGATCACTATGGCCGGCTTCGAGGACACCATTGACAAGGATGTCAAATGCGTAGGAGACACCTTTGGCAAATGTAAACTGAACAAGCACACGTGCACCAACTGTGCTGCGAGACATACCAAGGATGGGGGCGGTAATGTTACTTTGGGCCAAGACGAGTACATCAATCAGCTCCGTCCTATACGACGTCCTGAACTTACTGGCGCCGACGCTGACGCTCAGGCATCTACGGTGCTTGCAGACAGGTTCGTCAGCCTCAGGGTTGCGCTAGCGCATGCATTAATTACCCAGGTGCGGTTGATAGTGTATGTTGTATTTCTACAACGCGTGCAAGAACCGACCAGAATCCAAGTGCGACGACTGAACCCGATCACCAGGAAACTGCAGGCCTGCCCAAAGAAGATCGTCTACCAGGCGATGACCCCTACGGGCGAGGTCGACCTGCACGGCGACTCAGGATACCGACGCCTGAGTGGAGACGCCGATGACGACGTCAAAGGCTATGGTTTTCGCGGGTCAAACCTGCTACGGCGTGCAAACACGCCATCTGGTAAACCTGCCGCCCACTTGATCGATGCGTACTGCAAGTCTCACCGCTTGCAGGTCCGCTCGAGTTATTCAGCAGAGACACTAGCAGCAGCCCATAATTAGAAGGACTGTTATCCCACGATTGTGACTCTGCGCGAGCTCCACGCAGGGCCGCTCACGCCCACACAGTTGAAGGACGAACTTGAGTTGGGTGGCCTGAGCATCAAAGTCACTTTGACCATAGATGCTGAGTCTTTTTAAGTCTTTGTGAAGGAAAGATTTGGAAAAAAAAGGGTCCACCTTCCTTTTGGCCCGCCCCTTTTCTGTCCTTGTGTATATTAGCTGCTGTGCCTGCTGCATAGGGGCGGCGGGCTCACGCTTCGTCTCCCCCCCTACTAAAGCAAACTGAGGGACGTAAGGAGTGGAAGCGAACGTGCGCCCGTGGCCGCGTCGGCTGAAGCGGCCGGCCGCCCAAATATGATTGTGCCTCATCGCGAGGCACGCACTTGCTATCGAGACCAAAAGGACATTCCTATTGTTTCAGATGGCACATCCTCTCCTACAGGGACTACCGCTACTACGGTACAACAGAGCGGGAGCTTGCTCCGCCTAAGGCCAAGCTGTTGGCTGGGCCTCCCAGCCCCCTACAAGCTAATGAAGCCGAAAAGGCGAGAGCGCCCAAATCCTTGGACAACCTTGGGGCACATCAAATATTTGCGCCTCTTGGTGCCCTCTTGGGAAGCCTCTTGGAAGCTTCTTGGAGGTTTCTTGGGGTGTCTTGGGAGCTTTTGGGGCCGGCTTGGGCCAATCTTGGGCGTCTGGGAGCGATCGTTGGGCGTCTCGGGGCCCTCTTGGCCCGTCTTGGCGGCCTCTTGGGGCCCTCGTGGCCCGTCTCGCGGCGCCCTTAGGCCGTCTTGGGGCCCTCTTGGAACCCTCTTGGGCAATCTTGGGATGGTGTTGGGGCCTCTTGGGCCATCTTGGAGCGTCGTGAGAAGCTTGTTGGAAGCCTTTTGGAAGCCTTGTGGAGGCCTCTTGGGGTGTCTTGGAAGCCTCTTGGGCCGGTTTGGGCCCATGTTGGGCGTCTGGGAGCGATCGTTGGGCGTATCGGGGCTGTCTTGGACCGTCTTGGCGGCCTCTTGGGGCCCTCGTGGCCCGTTTTGGGGCCCTCCTCGGGTCCGAAAAGGTCACGCGAGACGACGCGCGGACACCCAGGGGCCATGCGATAAGCCCCGGCGGATCTGGCAATTCGGTTCCGGAACCCTCAAAAGATCCATCAGGAGTGAGGACCGAGGCTCAGGGACTTGGGCAACGGGCCTGAGGGCGCGCCCACTCCGTGCCCAGCGGCACGGCGGCGGATCTGGAGGAGACGCTGCTGGCGCAACGCGTGCTGCCGTTCGCCACGTGGGAGGTGCTGGGCACGCTGGGGCTCAGCGGCGCCCCCGGCGAGGCCGAGGCCTCCCCCGCCGCCGGTGGGCGCCGCATGGTCCTGGACGCCGCCGCGCTCGGCGCCCTCGAGGTGCTCGAGACGCTGGAGGGCACGTACGCCGGGAGCCTGCTGCACTTCCTGGACCGCACGGCCACGCCGGGCGGCTTCCGTACTCTGAGGCAATGGGTGTGCGCCCCGCTGTTCGACCCCGCCGAGATCCGCCTGAGGTCCTCCGCCGTGGAGTTCCTGATCGCGAACCACGGCATGGCCGACCAGCTGCGGAGCGGCCTCAAGAAGATGGCCGGCAGCCAAGCGCAGAGGCACCACGACCTGGAGCGCGCCACCTCGCGCGTGTGGGGCTTCGCCGCGCAGTCCTCCCGCCACGCGGTGATGTACGAGGACACGACCGCCAAGCGCCTCGGGGACTTCATGGCCCTGCTCGAGGCGTACGAGCAGGGCATCCGGACGCTCTCCTCGGCGCTGCCGGCGGGCGGCGCGCAGCTGCCCGAACGCCTGAGGCAGATCGCGAGGACCCGCGCCGACGGCGGCAGCTTCCCGGAGCTTCAGGACGTCATCACGCGCTTGAGGAACAGCGTGTGCGAGGGAGCCGACCCGAAGACCGGCAAGACGAAGTGTCGGCCTGCCCCGGGCGCAGACGCCGACTACGATGCCGTGACGGCGAGGATCAAAGAGAAGGAGGCGTTGTTACTGAAGGAGCTCCGCGGGATTCAGGGGAAGCACCCGAAGGTGAGCTTCGAGTTCTACCACCGCCAAACCCACCGCTACGAGGTGGAGGTGGACGAGGGGGCGCTTCCTGAGTCGTTGCTCGCAGGCGTGGACGTGACCTTCCGAAACAAGAGCAAGGTGCGCTTCCAGACGGACCGAATAAAGCAGTTTGTGCAGGAGATGGAGCATGCCGAGGACGCGAGGGAGGACTGCATATTCCCTTTCTTGTGCAAGCTCTTCCAGGAGTTCCATGCCCATCAAGCGCAATTCCGCGCAGCCTTCCGCCTGTTGGCAGAGCTGGATGCCATACTGTCGCTGGCTAAGGCATCGGTGGACTTGCCTGGCAGCAGCTGTCAGCCAGACATTGTGGAGATCGTTGACCCCAGTTCCACAGGCATGCTCGAGCTGGTGGAGTGCAGGCACCCCGTTGTGGCAGCGAAGATGGGGAGCTCCTTCGTGCCGAATGACACCTTGCTGAACGCGAGGGGCGTTCCTGGCTGCCTGGTCGTGACGGGTCCCAACATGGGCGGCAAGTCCACGGTGTTGAGGCAGACGTGCATCGCAGTCATCATGGCGCAGATCGGCTGCCGAGTGAATGCGACACGATGCCGGCTGAGCCCCGTGGACCGCATTTTCACGAGGATTGGCTCCTACGACGCGCTTCTGGAAGGCAAGAGCACGCTGCTGACGGAGCTGGAAGAGACCGCGGCCGTCCTGGCCCACGCAAGCCGGCGCTCCTTGGCCGTGCTCGACGAGCTGGGTCGAGGCACATCGACTTTCGACGGTGCGGCCATCGCCTCCGCGGTGCTGGAGGAACTGTCAGAGGGCGTGGCGTGCTGCGCGCTCTTCGCCACGCACTACCATCCGGTCTCCCAGGCGGCGGTCCAGCGCAAGGGCATCGCCCCCTTCCACATGTCCGCGGAGGTCTCGGGACCAGAACAATGATCTGGTCAGGGTCCGGTTCGGCCGAGTCTTATGGGGTGATGCCTGGAAGGCCCGAGTTACTGACCTGCTTGATTTGGGCCCTGAGGCGGCAGTGCCAGGGCCGATCGATCAGGCCGGCGCTCGGGCGGCCCTGGTGGCTCTCGAACACTTTGCTTGGAGCCCGGCACTGGCCTGGTTGCCGCCTCCGTCAGGGGGGGAAAACCACAGTCGCAATTAATCGTCGATTCCCCAGAAAATATGGGAAAATATGGGAAGTGGGGGGGAAGGCAGGAACCCCGAGAATATGGGAAAACATGGGGAATCCGGTTATTCGTATGCATTTATTTGTGTGTCCCAGGGCCCCTTCACTCCTGTCGCCTCGAGGTGGGCGAGGGATCGCACGAGATGACGTTCCTCTACAAGTTCCTGCCGGGCCTGTGCCCCGCGTCCCACGGCCACCGGCTACACGCAAGAGTGACCTTTCGCTTGAGTGACCTCTGGTGCGGGCACAATGGGGTCCCCCGACCACCGATCGCGATGCGATAGCAGCGTCTTGCGCGCCCGAGTTTGGTACCCCCGCGGCCCCCCCAAAGCCGCGCACCAAAGGTCACTCTTACGCAGGGTCCCAGACCCCCCACTTCGTGATTGTATCACAACGTCGACCCCCAGAGGTCTGGACCCCTTCCCTGGGACCGGCTGTTCGTCCTGAGTCGTTTTTTGACGGTCCCGAGGCCCGGTAAAGGCCCCTAGGGGCCGAAATTTGAGAAAAACCTCCGTCGTGATTTTGTTCAATGCGTTGGATCTCGGGGGGCTCACTCCTGCGCGTGGAGCCGAGGCCACCACGTCGCCCGGCGGGCAGGCCTGCCCGAGGGCGTGCTGCGGGACGCGCTGGCGAAGTCTGCGGAGTTCGAGCGCGGGCGGGGGGCCCAGGCTCCCCCTTCCAGGGCCATGCAACACAGCACTCGGGAGGAAAAGAAGCACACAGACACAACTCATCGGCGATGCCCCGAAAATGTGGGGAACATGTGGGAAGGGGGGGGAGACAGGAACCCAGAAAATGTAGGAACATATGGGGAATCTTTTCATTTGTGTGTATTCATTTGTGTGTCCCAGGGCCCCTTCAACACACATCACGGCCGGCGGCTTTTGCCCTCGCTGGGCCCACGGGCCGTCAACAAAGAGACTCGGGATGAGAAGCCGGTGCCCAGTGGAGGGGGTCGGGGGACCACGCGATGAAAAAAGCACGCCCTGACTCCAGATTCGCCCTACTTTGGCTTGTTTTCCAACTTAGGATTGCGTCGGAAATCCACCTTTTAGAAGCCGAAGAAGTAGGGCGGAAATTTCTGCACCCAACATACAGTAGGGCGGAAATCCACAGAAGTAGGGCGGAAACAGCAAAAGAAAAGTAGTGCGGAAATTGGCATCAGCGGGGCTTGAAAAGTAAGGCGGAAATTCCAAGCCCTATTTACGATTTTCCCCAAAGTAGGGCGGATCCGGAGTCAGGGTGACGTCGGTGGCTTGGAGGCGGAGAAGGTGACGTCCAGCGGCGCCCAGCAGACGCCGGGCGGCGCGCGAGAGCTTCTGGCAGAGGTCGTCGGGCTCGCCTCGGCGGGCGATGCGGCGGCGCTGAGGCACCTGTTCAGGAGCCGGGTCCAGCAGGCGGCCGCCTGATGGCGGCAGGCCCGAGTGCGGGGGGCGGTCCGCGTCTCCTCGCGCCTCCACGCGGGGACGGCGCCGGCCCGGGCGGGGCCGCGCTCAGCCGTGCGGCGGGGGGGCACCGCGCGGCCAGGCCAAGAAAGAAGAGCGGAGCGCGAGCCCCAGGTCTCAGACGATGGAGCTTTTGGAGCAGGCGCCTTTTTTCTCCATTTCGGCCCTGAGTGGGCCGTGGTCGGGCCCCGGGACCATCAGAAGTGGATCTCCGTCGGGAGGCAGCCGAAGTTCAGCGGGTTGTTGCAGTGCGCTCGTGGGATCCTGGACGCACTGGTGCAGACAGCGGTTTATTTTCATCGAGGGAGCTGCCTTGTTTTTTTTTGTTGCTGCCTTGTTTTTTTTTGTTTTATAAAAAATACAACAAAAAACATCAGAGGTGGATCTGGGGCGACGAACTGCACACGGGGAAGCGGTCGGGGTTGCTGGGCCCGCGGGCAGAGGCACCGCACCGCCGGACGTCTGGGGCGCCGCCGGGCGCGCCGAGCGCTCTGCCTCGCTGCGGCGCGCCCGTGCCTCCTCTGCGGCCGCGCACGTCGTTCTCGCGCCATCCCTGGCGCGGCGGCAGTGCGAATCAGAGGTCGCCCGCGGGGGCGCGAAGATGACCGCGCTTCCTCTGGGGCGCGGGGGCGCGGCGGCGCCCCGCGCATCGTGGGGCGCAAGAAGCGCGAGGCCCGGTGACCATGCGCGTGCGGTGCGTGCGTGCCGTCCTGGCGGGGCGGCACCGCGGGTGCCGGCGTTCCAACATCTGTTTTGCGGCACGGCCACCATCCTCTGGCGGCGCTGAGGTCCCCAATCAAAAGCCGAACGAGGGCGGGAAGCACGGGAGGAGCCATGGCCTGGCGCTCCAAGGCTGGAGGCCCCCGCCAGGTGGTGAGGACCCCACCCCGAGGGGAGAGGCTGTGCAGAGGGCAGGAGAGTCTGCGCAGAGGGGTTCGCTCAGGGGTCACGCGGCGGTAGAACTCGAGGTCCACGCCTTTATGACGTCGCCCTCCGCTTCCTCGTACCCCTCCCCTGCTGCCCCCCTCTCCTTCCTCTCCCCCCTCTCTCTTCTCTCGTTCCCTCCCTCCTTCCTCCGCGTCCGGGCACGGCCTCGCGTGCCAGCCGCCCTCTGTCCGACCGACCTCCGTCTCCTTCCCCTCCTCCCCTCCACCTCTCCCTCCCCGCCGGCAGTCAGAGGCACGCCATCGGCAGTGCCCACATTGGTTCGAAGGGCCCCTCCCTTCCCCCACCCGCTTTTTCCCCACCTGACCTTTTCTCCCCTCCGCCCTCCCCACTCTTCCCCGAGCGGCGGCGGAGCTTCCTCCTCGGGATCCGTGCGCCCCTGAGAGGGCCCAAGACGGCCCACGAGGGGGCCAAGACGGCCCACGATGCGCCCAAACCGCCCAAGAACGCCCCAAGGCGGCACCAAAGACGGGAACGAGGAACCGGAAATTCGCGCCTTTTGGCCCAAGAGACCCCCAGGAGACCCCAAGAGGCTCCACGAAGCGCCCTCAAAGCCCCAAGAGGCCCCCATGAGACCCGAATAAACACAAAACGAGGCACCGAACGCCCCAAGGGGCACCCCAATAGAGCCCGAAATATGCAAACATCGTCGATTTCCTATGGGGAAACTGATATTTTTTGCGTGTTCGCCTTTCGGGCTTCCACTGCGTCCAAGACGGCCCCAAAGGCACCCGAGACGGTCGAGGACGCCCCCAAGAGGGCTCCAAGACGGCCCACGAGGGGGCCGAGACGGCCCCCGAGGCGCCTAAACCGCCCAAGAACGCCCCGAGTCGGCGCCCAAGACGGGGACGACGAACCGAAAATGCGAGCCATTTGGCCCAAGAGGCCCCAGGAGACCCCAAGAGGCTCCAAGAAGCGCCCAAGAAGCCCCAAGAGGTCCCCAAGAGACCCGCAAAAACATAAAAAGAGGCACCGAACACGCCCCGAGGGGCACCCCAATAGAGCCCCAATAAGCAAACATCGTCGATTTCCTATGGGGAAACTGATATTTTTTGCGTGTTCGCCTTTCGGGCTTCCACTGCGTCCAAGACGGCCCAAGAGGCACCCAAGCTGGTCGAGGATGCCCCCAAGAGGGCTCCAAGACGGCCCACGAGGGGGCCAAGACGGCCCCCGAGGCGCCTAAACCGCCCAAGAACGCCCCGAGTCGGCGCCCAAGACGGGGACGAGGAACCGAAGATTCGAGCGTTTTGGCCCAAGAGGCCCCCAGGAGACCCCAAGAGGCTCCAAGAAGCGCCCAAGAAGCCCCAAGAGGCCCCCAAGAGACCCGAAGAAACACCAAAAAGAGGCCCCGAAACAGCCCCCCAAGGGGCCCCCCAAAACGGCCCAAGAGAGCCCAGGGCGCGCCCAAGAGGGTCGACCAGAGAGCTGGTCCGACTTTCCACACTCTACACAGGGTCCGTCCCCGGTGGTGTCTCAAGCAGGTGTTGCCACTGGAGTCCTCACTTGCCTGAGAAACTTCCAACATTTTTTCGCACAGCGATTCCTGTGTCGGTGACACGCTAGATGCGAAGTGCGCGTGCGTGCTATGTATATGTATGTATGTCTGTATATATATATATATGAATAAATACCGCCCCCTGTTGAAATACCCTCTCTGCATCTGTGCATAAATGATTATGATTGCTTCGTTGCACTGTGTATGATCGTAACAAGCCCTTTCGGCACAAAACACTTCTTCATTGTAGCGTAGGGTGCTGCTGCCCCCGAATGCCGCCGAAGAAGCGCCCGAGAAACACCAAAGGAACAAATGATTTCAGCCTCTTGGGGCACTCGTCGGGGTCCTCTTGGAGCCTTGGCCGTCTTGGGGGCCGCTTGGTCCGTCTGGAAAGCCTCTTGGGCCGTCCGAGACCCCCGGAGGCCGTCTTCGGGGTGGCTCGGTGCCGTCTGAGGCCGCCGGATCGGCTGCCCGATCGCTCCGCGGGCCGATCTGTGCGACCTCCCAGCAGCAGGCCCGGCCCCGAGGCGCCTTGAGGAGGGTCGGCCCTCTCCCCAGGATCAGGCCCTGGGGGCCCCCAGGCCCAGACCACGAGTCGGCCCAGACGCTCTCCAGGAGCTCGACGCCTGGAAGGAGCCGAAGCACCACCACCTCGAGCAGCAGTGCTCACCACCCACCAAGCCACCCCAACCCGACCCGAGGACCTCCATTTGCCCTCCATTTCTTGTGTGGGGGGGTCGGGGAACCTCGAGAAAACGCACATGGAGCCCATGGCCCCCCCAACCTGAAATTCGGTCTTCGGGTTGGGTTGGGGTGGTCTGGTAGGGAGTCAAGTACCAGCAGCCATACCAGCACCGGCAGGAAACTCTCGAGCCAGACCGAATGCGTCTGGGGTCCCGACGCGAGCATCGGGCACGCAGACAGCTGCCGTCACTCCAGCCGCCAGATAGACAGCTGCGCTACTCCCGATCGGCCAGAAGGCCGTGCTAATCTAGAACTCGGGGGGAAAAACTTGGGCCGTGCCTCCGGCACCCGGGCAAACGTGCGATCGTCTTGCGTGGATTGCTTCTCGGGCAGGCAGGGTCGGGGAGCAAAAGAGGGCGGGGGAACGGGGGTAGAAGGGAAGAAAACTGTCAGATCTCGTTCGCGGGGGCCTGCACGAAGAACTCCGCGCTGATATGCACAGATTCAAAACGATGCACCCAGTTGAAAAGGATACCCGGAATGTCCTGGCTGCCGCGGCAATCGCAGCAGCCTCGACCCACGTCGCATCAAAGTCCCAGGAAAGTGCGACATTTCACCAGGCACTGAATCACCGTGCTAGTGCCCTGGATGCACGCGCGAACCCCCACCAGATAGGTCTGGCGGCTATGTCGCCGCCGTCGCCACCGTTCGTCACTGCCTCGTTGCCGCGTGTCTTCTGGCCATGCGCGTCGGATCCGCCGCCTTGTGGTTGCCGTCGCCGCCCCGTCGCCGTGGCCGCCCCGTCGCCGCGTCGTTGCCGCCCGCAGCCTCGTCGCCGCAGTGCTTTGCATTATTTCACATTGTACTGCATTGTTTTGCGTTGCTTTGCAGTGCTTTGCATTGCACTGCTTCGCATTGCTTTGCACCGCGCTGTTTTTTGTTCCGGATTGCGTTGTATTGTTTCGCATCGCTTTGCATTGCTTTGCAGTGCATGCATCACGTTGCAAGCTTGCAGGAGGGGCGTTTGCGACGAGGGGGGTGTTGAGGATGAGGAGGAGCGCATGTTGCAGGATGGGCGGGAGGGCGTTGGTGTAAGATGGTGCTCTTCGCCCTGGTCTCCTTCTGCGGCTCTTCGCCCTGGTGCTCCTTCTTCCCTCTCCTCCTCTTCCTCCGCTCTGCTTTATGCAGGATGGGAAAAAACACACAGACACAATTCATCGTCAATTCCCCAGAAAATATGGGAAACTATGGGAGGGTGAAGACAACAACCCAGAAAATAAGGCAAACTATGGGTAATCCTGTTATTTGTGTGTATTTATTTGTGTGTCCCAGGGCCCCTTGATTTATCCTCCGTTTCCTCCTCCTCCTCCGCCGTAGAGGTTGCCGCCGCCATCGCTGTCGTCATCATCGCCGTCGCCATTTACCATGTCGTCTTCGCTGCCTCCCTGTCTGACTGCCGGGCTGTTTGCCATGTGTGCCTGCCCGCCCGCGCGTCCTCGTTGGTCTGCGTCTGCGGCCGGCGGTAGGGCCGCAAGGTGACATTATTGAACACACTAAGCTTGCCATTCGCGAGCTCATCTCTGCGGTGGTGGCACATTGGACTTCGCGGGGGTACTCCCCGCATGTGGCGCGATCGCCACCTCCTCCTCCTGATTCTCGCCGTCCCCACCGCGCTCCGGGAGCGTGGAAGTAGGGGTAATTACGGGGAAGTAGGGGTACGGGGAGGAGGAGAAGGAGGAGGAGGAGGAGGAGAAAGAGGAGGAGGATAGGGAAAGATTACATTGGGGCTTTCTGGGGACGGTACTCGGCGCCAGCGGTCGCGACCACCGCAGGGCAGAGGCGTTCACAGCGAGGTCCAGGGCACAAGCGAGACGAGAGGCGAGAGCAGGCGCGCCAGCAAGAGCAGGCGGGTTGCACGGGACCCTGCGTCCGCGTACAAGCGGGAGGCTTCGACGGGGCACACACACATATGACAGTGACAAGCTTGCGGCTCCCGGAGGGCTCCGGGAGGCCCGGGCGCGCCAGCATCCCACGGGTTCCTCCTATGCAGGTCTCCACTCTGCCTTGCATGTACGGTAGGTTTGCGTCGTGTCGACCAGCGGCGACCCCAGCGTGGGCGTTCAAGGTTGAACGCCGCTGGCGACCCAGAATCGATCGACGTTGAACGATCGGACGTTGCGGCAGCGGCCAATCGTTCAAGGTTGAACGATCCCTGCGGTGTCAAAAACCAACGCTGGGGTCGGCACGACACGAACCTGCCGTACCATGGCCCAGGAAGAGATGGCTTGCTTGCTAGGAGCGCGCCAGACGTAGCGATAGGGAAACGGATCGCGCGAGCGCAGCTCAGCCACAGCGACTCTCCTCCCTCCGCCCCTCCAAGCCGCTTACCCTCCTCATCCCTGGCATCCTCCACCTCCACATCCGTTCCCCTCGTCTCTGCTGCTCCTCCTCCATAGCCGTTTAGGCTCAAGCGGCTCTGCTTCGAGTGGAGTCTACGGCACACTACGGACGTCCCAGTCAGGTCTCCATTTTGCCTTGAAGGCACCATGGCCCAGGAAGAGATGGCTGGCTTGCTTGGCATCTACAGAGCGTATCGAAGACGCCTACGGCGAGTCCCCGCCGCACCCTGCTTTTGGAAGCGCCCATGCGGCCAAACGTTGGACCGCAGTCTGGGCAAGCCACTGGACTGTATGTTCCCCCAGCTGCTACGGTGCCCCATGGGGGAATATTGAGGAGAGTAAGAAGTAAGAGGAGGAGGAGGAGGAGGAGGAGGAGGAGGACGACGAAGAGGAGGAGGAGGAGGAGGAAGGAGGAGGAGGAGGAGGGAGGAGGAGGAGGAGGAGGAGGAGGAGGAAGGAGAAGGGAGGAGGAGGAGGAGCTTGAAGTGAGATGGCTCAGGGACGCGTGAACCCCACTGGTGGGACCAGAGGCCTGGTGTGCCACCTTGGTGTCTCACTGGGGGGACGGGATCTGTCATGTCTCGGAGCATTTCAGCCATTAGGATCAAACTCGAATATCCCTTCAGGCCCGAGCCCGAGCGTGGAAAGGACCGAGGAGATTCCCCTCGGCTTTCCTTCCGCCGCTGCGCCCGGGCTGTGCTTCATAGCCTACTCTTCTGCTCGGGCGTGCACATCCCTGACTCCACCACTCACATGGCACTTTTCATGATTGCACGAATTTCCCCCCGGAGCGCACTTCACGGTTTCGAATCCACAGGGCACAATGGGATTGACAACGTATGTTCCCTTTTCAATTTGCACCAGAAGGGGCAGTCATGCCACTGGGGCGCGAGAGTGCACCAAAACATGCTGAAGCGGAAGTCGCGGTGGCATCCAACTCAGTCCAAGTCTTCTTTCTCGCGCGCGCGAAAACGAAGTCTTTGGGGCGCCGTGGCCCCGTTTGCCGGGCCAGAGGGCTGACGTATCACCAAGATGTGCCATTCAAGGACAGGGCAACTACTGAGCGAATTTGGGGATTACTGCGAAGAATCCCAGAACCCCCACTGGCACTCTGTCCTGCACCAGTCCAAGCACCATGTCCTGCCTCGAGTGCGACGGTGTAGCTTGACCTTATCATTGGCCGATTGGGCAATGCAGCCACGCGGATGAAAGACGAATGCCGCTTTCAGCTCAATCTGGGCCGTGGGGAAGATTGCGGAGATTTCCCAAGGCTTTCTTGCCGCGGCTGCGGCTGGGCCTCGCTGGATCCCACTCGGAGCTCTACAGTGGGCTGGGGGCGTGGTCAGCCGCTTCACCAAACTGCTTCCACATAAGCATTCATTGCTGCCCCCAAGCGCACTCGGTGCTGCTGCTAGGGGACCACATGCGAACCCTACCCCCACCCTCCCTCTCAGACATCGTGGGGGTAGGGGCACTATGTCTTATGGAAAGAATTGGTCTAACCAGGGTTGGCCCGAGGGGGTTGGCCCGATCTCCGGAGGTTGGCCAGGAAGGTTGGCCAGGTCCGTCGTCGCACGAGTTGGCATTGCGTTACTCAGAAGGGTTAGCCGGGATTGGCCAGGGGTTTGGCGACGCCATTTCTTAGATGACGAATTCTTTCTAGACTATATAGTAAGGTCCGCACGTGGCCCCCTAGCTGCGCCCGGTGCCAGCCCCTGGGAGGCGCACGGACCGCAGCACCGACCCCGCGAGCCGCCAGCGACCTGGCCCGAGCCCGCACGCGGGGAGGCCGCCTGCCGCCGGCCCGGGCAGAGCCGCAGGGCTGGGTCGCGCGCAACGCGTTGCGAGGTAATAGTAGTAGTGGTAGTAGTAGTCGTCGTCGTCGTCGTCGTCGTCGTCGTCGTCGTCGTCGTCGTCGTCGTCGTCGTCGTCGTCGTCGTCGTCGTCGTCGTCGTCGTCGTCGTCGTCGTCGTCGTCGTCGTCGTCGTCGTCGTCGTCGTCGTCGTCGTCGTCGTCGTCGTCGTCGTCGTCGTCGTCGTCGTCGTCGTCGTCGTCGTCGTCGTCGTCGTCGTCGTAGTCGTAGTCGTAGTCGTAGTCGTAGTCGTAGTCGTAGTCGTAGTCTTAGTCGTAGTCGTAGTCGTAGTCGTAGTCGTAGTAGTAGTCGTAGTAGTAGTAGTCGTAGTAGTAGTAGTAGTAGTAGTAGTAGTAGTCGTAGTAGTGGTAGTAGTTGTAGTAGTCGTCGTAGTCGTCGTCGTAGTAGTAGTAGTCGTAGTAGTAGTAACCGCATGCTGAGGATAATAAAGTAACCCACCCTTAACACGTTACCATTGATTATCGTCGACCTAGAAGGGTTTCAAATGTAGGCGGAGAGCGCGGAGGCCGAACTTCATTATCACTGTGAAAAGTTCGCCATCGAGGTTACTTCCTTCTTATGTTGAGATAGCAACATCAAGCGAAGCGAACACGCTTTTTAGGATGTCTCAAGCGAAACCAACAATTTTGGGAGGCAGCCTCAAACGAAACGATCAATGTTTCAAGGATGTCTCAAACGAAACGATCAATGTTTCAAGGATGTCTCATTGTTGAGGGTGTCTCAGAGAGGACCAAAAGCCAAGGATGTCTGAAGGTATCCTCTGCTTTCGCTCCTCTTGATCATCTCTGATCATCTCTTTATGCTGGCCTCTGGTGGGCAACATTTATAATCCCCCGCGACCCCCGAACTTTATTATCCCAGTGCGTTTATTCTCCCTGGTATATGGTTAGTAGTAGTAGTAGTAGTAGTAGTAGTAGTAGTAGTAGTAGTAGTAGTAGTAGTAGTAGTAGTAGTAGTAGTAGGTAGTAGTAGTAGTAGTAGTCGTAGTAGTAGTAGTCGCAGTAGTAGTAGTTGTAGTAGTTTTAGTAGTAGTAGTAGTAGTAGTAGTAGT